TTTGGGGTGGAGCGCACACATGTGGATGTCGTGAGACGAAACGGGGGCTGACTGCCCAACCGTCACTCCTTTTCTGGAGAGTGTGCTTTTTTTGTTATTGTCTTTTGTGTCAGGGCACGGCGGGATTGGGGAGCACCGTCCCACGAAAGGTCCTGCACACATACACACTCTCATGCCACTGTTGCCCCCGAATTTAGGAATAAAACCCAAATCCCTGCTGCTTTTTGCATTGGCGCAATTATTTATTTATTAACTGACGCCATTCCGTCCGGCGTGTCACTTTGATTGGATTGTGTGGGACTGATCTCCAACAGCATCGAACAAAACAGGCTGAGGATTTTTCACGTATTTAAATGCCACCTTGCACGCGTATTTTTTTTACGCTCTGTTGATGTGTACTCAGACAACGAGGAATCCGGAACTATGCGTGCGTGGAATTTGTCCTGCCATGTGAACTGCGGGCAACACCGAGGGGCTGTTACTTTTGCTCCGCAGAGTTGTTGTGTCTCTTTGCAGGGTTGGCAGGGAAATTCCATGCAGCCTGCTACTGCTGTTGTGTTTTTAAATGTTGTCACTCCATGCGAATAATGTGCTTCAGCGAGTGAGGGTGTTGATTGGGTTTGTGTGCACTCTGATTCTGTTTGCTACTTTGTGTGGGCACGCAATACTTGAGTGGTGGGAAAATGTGGCGGGGCGGTGCATGGCTGCGTCTCGCCCATTTTTCAGTGCACGATGGTGTGGTTCACATTGTGGTGCTGACTCTGCGATGTGACTGCGGTCTCCTGTGTGGCAATGGTGGTGGGTGGACGAGAGTGTTGACCCGCGGCGGGACGGTGGGATCGTGCCTCCTTTTCTCTTTGTTCCTTCCCTTTTGTGAAGGTGTGCACTTATTTTTGGTGTCGGTGATGAGGCAAACAGACCGACAACGTGAATAAAACAAAGTAAAAAAGGGCGATAGTGTGGCGGTGTTGGGGTCGATTGCACGCCTCGTGTTGCTGCGGGGGCGGTGGGCCTCGGCTGCTTCACCGACAGGCGTTGCAGTGCGGCTGCATGGCGCACCGACCACCGAGCCGTGCGAGTGCCATGCCCAACGCCATTGGGACTGCGGAAGGAAACAGCCGCGAGTGTCCTTTGGAGCCAGCGGCACCTGCTGGCCGCAGTTGGGCGGTGCGAGTGGGATGCTTCACTGCACGGGTGTTGTGATGGCACCTCGCCGTGGCTCTTGTGATGGTTCCGACGCTGCAGCTCGACATTTGGTGGGGTGTAAAGTGTGGCCGCGGTGGACCATGAGCAGCACCAACATGAGGCTGAACGATTTCCTTTGGAATTGTGTTGGCGGCAGGGCGGCCGTTGATGAAAGACTACAATGTGACGATGGAGATGATTGTTCAGGAGTCGGATGATTACGTACAAGACCAGCGGCTTCTTGAAGAAATTCTTAACTTAACTGCGTACCAAGCGCTGGAGGCCATTACTAAGCCTCTTCACGAAGGTGTGTTCTCTCTCGGGCAATGGAGGGACTATGAAGGAAAGGATACGGTCACTCCTCTTGCAAGGGGAAAACCAAACGGAGTACTCACGCAGGTACTGAAAGTCGAGCGGCGTGAGGCAGAAATGAAATTTACCATTTCCACTAATATTGAAGATGTACTGTTTAAAGGAAGAGTTCGCGTCAATGAAATGAAGCTGAGCGACTTTCTTACGAGGGAACTGGACGGCAGGGGCATTGTGGACACCAATCGGGATGTGTTGCTGGAGGAGTTTTTCAAGGACCCCACGAAGTATATCCGTGATAAAGGAGCATTGAACGAAATACAGGCATCAGGTCGTTATTTGAGTATGAAGCGAGCTGTAAAGGGTGAAGTGATCTTCGATGAGGATATACGCAAGCTTTGCGATAAGGGTGTCAGCAATCCACCGGGGTGGTCATTAGCAGCTGCGGAGGTAAAAGCAGCTGTTCATAACTCCACCAAACATTTCTTGGATGCGGCTGCCGAGGAGGCGAGGGACCCAACGACGACGAGCGCACCGGAGAAACTGGAGGGATGCTACGAGTCTGTGCACAATGCGGGGCGGAGCCATGCGGTGGAACTTCCGGACGGCGTGGAGCGGAAGAAAACGGGGACGGGAATGGGGGTGAATGAGGGGAAGCCAGAACAGTCATGGTCGCACAAGAAAGCTGACGACGCTACCGAAAAGAATGACGCTGTGCAGCAATTCGGTGCGACACGTCCCGTGTTGATGGTGCTCGCCTCGGAGAAGGGATGGCCGTACTCGTGGAATACGATACGGGATCTTCCTAAGGACGTTTTTGTAAACTGTGAGGTGGATTGAGTGTGGCAGATCGTCAAGGGCGATCTAACCGCGTGGTTCATCCCTCACGGCGGGACCGACTTTAAGTTCGAGCGACGTGTGTTGATTGGGACGCCCGGGATCGGGAAGTCGATGGCTGCCGGTTCGCACCTCCTCTACCAGCTGCTGCACTGCGATGTCGAGAAAAACCAAGTGGTGGTCCACTGTTTTGGTGGAGGAGATGCGTACGTGTTTGACAAGACCATCCAGAGCGGTGACAAGATACAGCGATGAGGACATGTGCATCTCTGAGTTGAGAAGTTTGAGGGGGCATGGGAGGAATGCGTATATTATCTACGATGTGGCAAAGGAGGGAACGCCGCCACCGAGACATTTTGCGCCTACTTCTGGATGGGGCATGATTGCGGTGTCATTCCCAAAGGTAACCAACTATGATGAGTGGGCGAAGCAGC